GCAATTTTTTCACCTTGTTCCTTTTTCAAAATACTTCTAATGGTGCTGTAATTCTTGGGTTCCATAGTAGATCTGATATAATTAATTTCATATTAACTATTTTTATATAGGGATAGTCCTATATATCACTTAAGATAACAATGTGATCATAATTAACAGTTTTATAATATGCCATTTATTATCTTAAGTGATATATAGCACTACCCCTATATAAAAATAGTTTATATGAAACTCATTTACATCAGATCTACTATGGAACCTAAGAATTATAGTGCCATTAGAAGTATTTTGAAGAAAGAACAAGGTGAAAAAATTGCTCCTTACATTTTCAAAACAAATGATACTCAGACACTGGAAGCTTATCTAAGAAAAGAAAATATTACCTATGAAATTTGCCAAAAAGAAAGGAAAATCATAAACATTAAGAAAAGAAAACAGCATGAAGGTGTATTATTACCCAACAAAAAGCCAAGATCTCTAGAAGGAAAATAATAGGAACAAATTTATTATCTATTTTATCTTTTCCTTTTTGGCATTTTCTAATAAGTAACTAGATTTCTAAAACCAATACTAATGTTCCATTCTTTTATGATTGAACACTGATTTTTTTTATAAACTATGTTTACAAATAGTTTTACAAAAAAAAAATCATAAGCAAAAAGAATGTTTTAATTGTCACAATACAAAAGAAGGTTTAACTGTCAATTGACGAGATGAAGAAAATGGAGAAATCATTAAATTCTGTTGTTGAAATGTTCTCAAATTTTGATTCAACAAGAATTAGACAACAAAGATTGCTGACTGATGTAACCTATGGTTAAAAAAGGAAGCAAAGTGGTTTCGAAGGTGGTTGCAACCATCATCAAAAATTGTGACCAGCATCTATGGTCAATATCAACAGAGTTTTCATAATAAACTGTAACAATATTAGCTGTAGTTGTTCTATTTTTATTGTTTATTTTTCGAGAATATCATAAATGTAACACTGAAATATTTTTAATAGACGTAACATATATTCACTGGATTAATTAATATTGGTTGTTAATGAGTGGAAGCGGGTAATGTTGAACATTAATTTCTTTCACATTATAATTATGTTTCCTTATAAGTTCATCTTTAAGCATCCCGGAAACATAAGATACATTCTGCGAAATTGAACATAAAATTCGTAAAATAGAATGTAAACTGTTACAACTTGATAACAGGAAAACATCCATTCTTAACTAATATTAATAACAAATTAGCAACAATAAATGATTCATTTATTCATTAATATTAATTAACTAACTGGTAACAGTTAAGTACAATTTTTTTGCAGACCACAATACAGCTTCTAAAAATTTTTATCAATCTTATAAATATATGCACATAATTTAACAAGTAATTTTAATTGAGCCAGTTTAGCCAGCTAAGAAAGACCTTATTAATGAATAAAATATAAAATCTTGATTAAATTATACAATTGATGCATAAATCTAATCAAACAATCCGACAATTGTAACCTTTATGGGTTTCGGTGAGGGAATTGGTATCCTACTATGAGCCAGGGTTGGCAAATGTGTAGTCCATTAATGGTCCATTGGTGACCAGTCCAAAATCCATCTGTTCTTAATGGACCGGTCAATTTGCCAACCCTGCTATGAGCAGAATGTGGAGGACTAGATGGGACACCCAAGGAAATTACTTTTAACATTTCAGAAATACGGTTCTTAAAATCACAAAAAGAAAGACATTATTAAATAAATGATTTGGTGACAATTTGTATTAAAGATAATAAAAAATTACTACATCGTCCACTTACTTTGATATTGTAAAATGCCTCTAATACCGTTATCAAATTTAAGTACTGCGTCCTTTCCATTGGAATCATCACATTTGCGATTAAAAACATCCGATACAATCTATCATAATAATAACATGAATCCATCTCGTATATACGGATGCGTGGACCTGTTAATGCAGTCAAGCGTTAATTAGTAAATGTATTAAAAAGTTAAACCAAATTTGCCACTTATCGCATATCCAAATACTAAGGAGACCATTTCACTATTGTTGCCATATTTTTTTATCAACACATCCAAAGAACTTGCTTGAAAATTTGCAAGTTTTACGTGATCTTTTTTACAAGTATGGAAATGAGTCCCTCAGCTTAACCTTTCCGAAGAGAATAAATAAAAAAATAGTAGTAGAAGTAGTTACATTGAAAAAATCAGGTGCTGGTTTTTGGATATTAGATTCAAAAATTACAAGTGTTGTTGAAGATGCCGAAGAAATAGTTTATTCTTATTCTTGGGATTACTATTTGTAATAGTTATTATTTATTTATTTTTTGTTCAGTGAGATCTGATTGGTTTATTTATACATGATTATATATCTATACATTTATAATAAAACTAACTCGATCTAACTTACGGACCTGTATTTTAAACCGCGACCTACCACCACACGTACAATATACATGGGGGTGGTCCAGACCTAATGTCCCAGGAAAACCCCACAACTACCCTCCATACTCATCCCAAATGAGTTATTATTTACATATTAATATTAATATTGTGTTAAATAAAATGAACACGTGTCATTTTATTAATAATATTTTTATTACAAGTGAAATAACAATCAATCAATCGTCTGGTTCTTTTTCAATAAAACATCTTTGTGGTCGGAAATTAAACAGTAGAGTTTAATTGTTTATTCAGTTATCAGGGCGGTATAGAACTCTGAGGTTTTGATTATTTGCCTTAATAAAGAAAGCAAAGGTTGGGTTTTTGGTTTTTGTTAAGTGTAAACGTTTTTGTTTAAGTTTTTGTAAAAATGTAAGTGTAAACATAAAGAATGAAGAAATTATTAAGACTGATTGGAAAAAGTATTGTGTTAATAGTTATTACTGATTGACTGTCTATTATAAAGAAGTTGACCAAAAAGCTACCTCGCAGTATTATGATCAAGATGATCGGCATTAAAATTTTTTAGAGTCATTGTTTACTATTAATTTACCACGTGATTCCCCCTACCCTTAATGAAAATAAAATGTTGCAAATATTCATCAATTTTTGTCTTTTTTTGATATTTTGTTCTTTGAATGATCTCTCTCTCATCTCAATTTTAAAAAACCTACAAAGTGAACATAAAATTATATATAGGGAGGGATAAGTGTATACGAAAAGTAATAATAAATATAATGGTTCTAATGAATATCAAAATGCAATTGATTTTTTAGAAAAAGGATGTAATTGTGGTTGTTCTCAAGAATTCCCAAGGAAGAATTGGCCAAATTAAGGTAACCCTTTCAAGCTCTTTCTAAAATAGAACAAGACATATTTTTAATGGCACAGATTAAAGTGTCACCGATTAAATTCGGGTGAGCGTATTTTAATTGGTGATAACAATTGTTTTTGTTTTTGCGTGGATCAGAATGAATAGAGGATCAACGAATTGATTTTGTTATTAGCGAATAATTTTGGGTAAAGAAGATAAAAGTTTATTTAAATAAAATATTAC